GTGGCAGTCCTGCTGGCCCCCCGCCTTGTATATTGACGATATTGTCATATCGGGTAACACAGCAGAAGAAGTTTTTGAGAAGGGGCATAAAATAATTCAAATGCACTCCAACAGCCATACAAGCTCTGCCCTGACTCCACGGCCATTGCCCCAGCTCCCTGCTCTGAGCATCAGCCGCCCCAGCCGTGAGCCCCAAGGACACAGGAGCTCCCACAGCCTGTCCCCTGGGGTCCCGCTGAGGGTCCCCCTGCTGAGGTGAAGTCCCAGCAGGGGTGGGGAGCCAGCGGCAACAGGAGGGCGACTGGCCCATCAGAGCCCCTGCCGGGGTGTGCGTGGCAGCGGTGAGAGGGCTCCTGTGCTGCTGGGGCCAGGCTGGGGGCACCCTCCTACCTGGCAGGTGTCGATGAGCCCGTAGGCATAGCCAGCACACAGGTTGTTGCTGTGGACGGCCCCTGCGTACCACCGGCTGCTGTTACAGAGGTGGGTGTCCAGGAGGTGGACGGGGGCCTCCTGCAGGACATCAGGTTGTCGGGAACCTGTCAGCACAGAAAGCAATTAACCCCCAGCAGCTGGTTACCAGTTCTCCCCCCTCTCCCTGCTTGGTGAACCCCTTCCCCAGGGCTCGGCTTTGCACCCGGGAGCCCTTGGGCCAGCGCTTCCCTCTGTTCTCGTGCTGGGCAATGGGCTGGGTCCATCTCCCGATGGGCAACTGTCCCCACAGCCCGACTCTGGCCTTCGTCCCTGCTCTCGGGAAGCCCAGCCCTTCTCCCCAGCCAGCCAAGCTGGCCCTCGGCACACCAGCACTTTTGGGGAACTCACTTCTTGCATTCGTGGAGCCCCAACCACTGACGTAGCAGTTTTTCAGCTCCGACACCCTCAGTGAGGCGTCGGGCACACAGGCCAGCTGTACATAGTAGCTGCACTGGACTGGGTGATCCAGCTCCAGCAAGGCAATGTCGTTCAGCTGCGAGATGTTGTTGTAGTGCTCGTGCATCACGAGCCGCTGGATGTGGCGCACCTGGACCTCCGGGCCCATCTGAGACAGCCGGTTGGCCCCGATCACCACGCGCCAGAGGAGTTCGGGCCTGGAAGGCAGATGGAGAGGGGTGAGAGGGAGTGGAGCCCCGGGCTGCAGCAGCCCAGCCATTCCCTGCCCTCGGCTTCCCCAGTGAGGGAGCACAGCCACACTACTGAGACGCCTCTGGCACTGGCCATGGCCAGCTGGCAGCCGTGGCTGCTGGGGAGCGGTGGCACGAACCCAGCCTTCTCCAGAGCAGTCCCTGCTGGCTCGGGAGTGCTCTGGTGCAGGGTGAGGGACTGGGGAGGGAGCAGCACGTGGTGCTGCCACAGGGCACTGGCTGGGGTGAGTAGAAAGAATGAATCAAACAATAAAACAACAATTGGTTAAATTAATGATTGAGACACAAATGCCTTGGACGAAATGTCTACCATTGGCACTTTTAAACATAAGAACTAAACCACACAGTGAGACTGGATTATCACCATATGAAATGCTCTATGGCATGCCTTATTTTCAAGGAATGCCTTTGGGGAATAATGTAATTGAGGATCAAAGTATCCAAAAATATGTAATTACTATTGGAAAAAGATTAAAATAGTTAAGAGAAATTGGGATGGTGGCCCAAACACCACCTTCAGGATTTGCGATTCATCAGTTAGAACCAGGAGATAAGGTTCTAATAAAAACATGGAAAGAAGAAAACTTATCTCCCCTTTGGGAAGGACCTTTTCTTGTTTTATTAACTACAGAAACAGCTGTGAGAACTGCTGAAAAAGGATGGACACACGTGTCGCGAGTAAAAGCTCCAGTGAAGGAGTGGAGAGTCACATCTGAGCCCGGAGAAACTAAGCTAACCATCAGACGAACCTGAAAAGGCCTTCATCAAAGAATATAAGCTAAGTGGCTGTGGGAATTTTATTGTGACTTACTCTTGTAAAAATTGGTGAATAGAGAGACTCCGAAGTGGGTACCTATTAGGCCACAGTATATACACTTTTTGGGACATAGCATACATACAAATCAGAAAAGGCCACCCCTTAGGATAAAAGAAGAGGGCAAGACCGGAGGGGAACCGGTGTTGCGGCTTGAAAAGGTCTGCCAAGGGCTGCAACCCCTTGGGGCTGTGACCGCCGATCACTGTGGCCCTGACCGGACCTCTTCTACTGCTCGGGGTGAGTTCCTTGACTCTGGCTACGGAAAATAACTGCAGTCAGTGTGTGGTGATGCATTATGTAGAGAAGATAACAAGACCGTATGCTATGATCCAAAAGAACTCCCTTAAGGTTATACACAAAACTGTTATTTAACTCATCACGAAATAGAAACAGGAGTAAAATATGAAATTCCCACAATTGCTAAAAATCATTAAAATGTAGCTAGTTGTTATGTTTGTGGTGGAAGATCCTGTGTATTAGGAAATATAAGACCCAGTTTTTTAAACTGATACACTTGGTCATACAAGGAATGCAGATAACTGCAGTATACTAAAGGCAAAAGAAAATCCAAAATTGGCACCAATTCGGCAAGTATTGACTCAATTAGAAACAAAAACACGAATCAATACCATAAAAAAAGAAGATGGGGGATTGTGAAATGTGTTCACCTGATTCGTGTTAATATCTTTAACTGTTCTGTTTGTCCTTGTATGACCATGGGCTTGGGAGAAGCGGGATTGTATGTATGTAGTTTCTGTTTCTTGCAAGAACCCCTAAGGAAACCAGTTTTTGTTACTGGTGCTGAACGGGAGGGGTCTGTGGGGCACACGCCTGGAGTCGGGGGTCGTCCTGGGGCGAGCCAAGGAAAACTCCTAGAAGATTCCAGAAGGTGAGGAGGGCATGCGCCAAAGAAGACAGGCCTCTCATTAGCATAGGCCAACCTTGGTATGAATATGTATTAGGAGAAGCGATATAAACCCAAAACAGGACTTGCACGTGTGTGCAAGTGAGCGGAGACTCCCGGTGCACCCAGCGCTGTTTGCTTGTCTTTACTCGTTTAATAAATTGTAAACTTTAATTGGAATCCTGTTTGAGGAAAAATCATTTATCACATATACTAAAACTGAACGAAGCCTTCTTTCCATCCTGTTACACTAAGGTCTGATGTGCAAACTCTGTATGGCTGTTTGTATGTTATGGCGTGATAGGTGATGTCATTCCAAGGTGTCAAGATCTTACCATCCATGTCTTGAATACAATAAAGGAAATACTTATTTTAACTTAATATTTATTCCAGCTTCACCATGCTGATCAATAGCCTTGAGATGCTAGTGCAACAAACGAGCACCCACATTCAGAAGTTCACCTTCACAGGTTAGGCTGCGTTGGGCATGAACGTGCTCGGGCTACGACCAAAGAAGGAAGAGCTTTTCTGAGAGGCAAAGCAGCCCCAGCTAGCAACCGTGCAGTTCCAGGGAACACCCTGACCCTTTATGGCTTGCGCTGTTCTCAGCAGAGATTCCTCCTCACGGGGCATGTCCAATTGCACAGTCAGCCCTAACGACTGCTGCTTTGTTAACGCGTGCTGGATGCAAGTGGGAAAGCTAAAAAACAACTCCCCCCTGCCTTACCAGAAGGTTCAAGCCTGTGTGAATTACTGTGATTATTAGTGTTCACTTTTTAATCAAGCCTAAGGAAGAAAAGCGCACAAAGCGTCAAAGTTCCCAACTTTTTTTCTCTTTATTTGCAACTTTATTTTTTGATCTGAAAAATGCTAAATCTTCTGAGGCTTTTAACTCCCGATGTTTTGAAACTGTGTTAATATATAAGAATGCTTGCATTTCCTTTTTTCATGAAGTGCAAGCATGTTTTAGCTTTGATACTTGCAGAGAACCCCTTGAAGGTAGGACTTCCGTATGGTCCCAGTAAGTTCATATAAATAAAAATCTTCCATTGTAATTTTGACATGACTGACTGCTAAACTGTGACCTTTGCACATAAGGATGGCAAAACTGAAGCTATTTTGTGGACTGTAAAGTATTCAGCCTAATTTTTAAAGCTCCTTCTGTGTGCTGAAGCACAGTCAAAAAAGATACTCATTTCAGAAGTTTGCAGGAGCAGATTCTCAGTGTGAATTTGCACAGCTTAAAAGTAGGTGAAAAGAGGTAATGACAGCTGTAGTAATTGCTAATTAGATTAGTGCTGTAGGTTTTTCGGATGAATGTTTAATTAACCCAGCAATGACTGGTTGCATGTAATTAGCACAGTATTCTGCAAAATCAAGAATGTGTTAATTGGATCAGATTTCTCAGCCTTTAAAAATTCCATATTAGGAGTAAGTTGTGCCCAGGGGCCTAACAGGTTTTTGCTCTCTCAGCACAGCTACCAGGGCCTCTGCCAGTATCACCATGTGGGTCGGAGAGGTGAGGGGTGGACCCATATCGCTACGTGGATGCTCTGGTAGTCGTGCCATTATAGCAGCAAACCTGCCTGACTTTTCATTTAGTGGCATCCACTCAGAGGTTGCATGCCTTCTGCAACGACAGCTTTTCCAGTGTAACCATGTTTACAATGGAAGGGCTGTTAAGGTGATCTCTTCCATTTCAGAGCCTCCCCTGTGCACACCTATCTTACAGAACAAGGCTAAGCCACAGTTGCAGAGCTCGCTCAAGATTCAGCTCAGCCCCAAGTGCAGTTTGCACCCTTGGAACGTTTTATTTGACTTACTGCCTCTTTTCCAAATGCGTGTGTTTTACCTTGACAATAACTGAAGAGAAGTGCTGTTTATTCTAACTGCCCAAGCGAAATAAATCTTCGGTGCAGGTTATTCTCTTAAATAAGGATTTCATGCAACTGGCTTTAATGCCTGTAAGTACATCAAACACTAGAGTTACATCAAACTCTTACCAAATTCTGCGCAGCCATATGCTCCAGGGAAAAGCCTCTGAAGTTGCACTCAGTGCTTCATGCTGTGCTCGCTGCCTTGTTCCCCCTTTCTGAAATACTCACAGCTAACCTCACGGCTCCCAGCTAACAAGCTTTTGCATGTTTTACTGGCAGGCACTTGCAGTACTTTCTCCTAAACGCACCGGCTCCTCACTGCAATAGGAAGACGACGAGATACCCTCCATGGAGAGATGCTCCCTGCTGGTTTGTACAGCTGCATAATCACGTCATGTCTGGGAGCGTGTGCTGTGCAGCACCCTGCTTGTGAAGAGGCCTTGGGGTTGAGGCTACCTTAGGTCCTCCACCAGGCAGCTTGCCAGTGGAAGAAGGAAACACTGATGGTGAATTATAAATATTTTGCATTTGTTGTTTCGCTAAACCTAACTCCTTGAACATCTGGTATGGAGCCACCAGTTTCAGCTTCCCCGAAATCTCTCCCTGACAGCTGTGCAGACACTCTCTGCTCAGGTGCAGAAAAAGAACGCGGATGAGAAGACTCTACAGCTGGCCTTCTGCAAGAATATAGGTGAAAATGTTAATCATCCACATGGAAAATAAAGTCATCCTGTTTACAGTGCTGTCAAGGTTTAGACTGGACTGGACTCTAAAATGAATGATGGATGCTCTCTAACTTCTCTCTCAAGAAAAGAGATGAGACACAGAGACTTATGAGTTGAAAAGAAACAAAACTACTTTAATGAAATATTAATAACAATAAAAAAGATAATAATATTAAGAAGAAAATAATGAAATATATACAATATATACAAAACTGTATTAAGCTCCCAGGATGATGTTCACGTCACAGTCAGGCACTGGGGGACTGGACTCAGTGACAGACAGGAACTGGATTCAGGAACACACAGATCGAGATCAAAGGCAGATGAACAGAGAGAGTCCTCCTTGGACACCAGCCATTATAAAAAGAGGCTGACCCTTTGATCCCTCAGCTTTTATACTAAGCACCGAGGAACACACAGATCGAGATCAAAGGCAGATGAACAGAGAGAGTCCTCCTTGGACACCAGCCATTATAAAAAGAGGCTGACCCTTTGATCCCTCAGCTTTTATACTAAGCACCGTGCAGATGGGATGGAATACCCTGCTGGTCAGTTCTGGGTGACCTGTCTGCTCCTTCCCACAGGTTTGACCCCCCTACGCTCCCCCACTTCCAACCCTCCAATGGGGCAAATAGCAAAGTCAGCCAACCCTGGTTGGTACGGGAATAAGTATAAACAAGAGCCTCTCTGCATCCCATTCCTTGGCATTCACTATAAACATCAGACCTTGTCTCCAATAGAAGCCAACATGCTCTGAAAAAATCACGGAATC